TTCTAAAATTCCTTTCAAATAAAGTTACTTTAATATTTTTTTCTTGTTTCATACAATTATGGTTTGGGGCGTCATTACCAACAATCAGTATATATATATATATAGTAGTATAATGACAAGCAATGTTAGTATTTTTTAACATCAGATCCTGAATGATAGACTTTTTTAAAAAAAGAAAAACAATAAAAACATATTATAAAAGCTAGTTATTCTGTAAAACCAAAGGACTCCGTTCATTTGACTCACTGTACTAAAATGTAAACATAGTGGTTTGGTGCCAGAGCAAAATACATTTGTGCTAATATATGAATTCTTGATATAGTTGGTGCCAAAGTTTTTATAGAAGAATTACATCTCAGATAATGTGTGCAGGCAGATCTGTATATTATCCATAAGTGGCCTCATTTAGAAATAAAGGTTTTTATAAGGCTTCTGTAAATTTTACATCACATGGAAATTTAGTACAAGTGAAGCTTTTTTTTTTTTCCAAAGGCTTTATACTGTTGGTGTAATCTTATAAATAGGTCATAGTTAAGCCTTTGAAAATAAAGTATGTGGTGTTGACACTATCCTGGTGTTATATAAACCGACTTTCAAGTTAACCAATTGGATTTAATCATCATCTATCCCCTTTATAAATGAACTACACTGTTGTTTTTCTGACTTCGATGTGCTTTGAAGTACAGTGTAGCATATTATTCTACCTTGAATCCTATGATAATACAGTTGACATCTTACTGTAGTGGACTTGTGCATATAGCACACATGATATAGTATATTGTATTACAGTAAATTTTAGACAATGCTACTTAATCATTTTACTTCATAAAGATAAACTAACATTTTAAATATGAATAATATTAATGGTCTACATAAAATTTGAGCACATTTCAAAATCATATTTATAAAAAAACTGGCCAAATTGGTCTTATTTAATGTATAATTCAGAACCACTGTGTAGTATGTATTCTTTTCTCTAAATGATGAAATGCTAAAGAATAATTTCACGTTGTTGAAGAAAATACCATTACTACAACAACAGCAGCAGCAACTACTACTACTACTACTACTACTACTACTACTACTACTACTACTACTACTGCTGACAGAAAGAATTCATGAATGTAAACTGGAGGATATCACAGTTTTCTTTAGTGAATATAAGTGAACTACTTGTGTGTGTTAGGTGTACTATTTGCTATGTATTTTACTTTGCTTCATTCAGAGAGAAAGTTGATTACTGAGTGCTGAATTATACAATTTAGACTAGGAAACTTGTAACTTTGGTATTTAATAAAAGAAACTATACATATTCTCTTTGTAATGTAAATAATCTATACCCCATGCACAAAGATCTTTTTCCTGAGTGTGATATATAAAAGTATGTATTCTTATTTTGAGGTATCTTTTGGAAATAATTGAAAGAGATTAAAGAACAATTTATGCCACATGAAAAATAATTACTTAGAAGTAGGTATCATGTCTTATGGCTTTTTATGGTCCATTTGGCTTTTTTTTTTCTCATTTGCTTTATTACTATATGTACTTGCATGTAACAGTTTGTATGTATATATTCTGACTTATTTTCCTTCTGTCATTATCTTGTGCTGTTATACCTTCTTCCTATCAGAATTGATACGTCAAACTCAGAGGTGTGAATTTGGTGTTGAAGTTTTCAGGACAGAGCTACTATTTCCATCGATGTATTTTAAGTAATAAAATTAGGGGAAGTGAAATTGGAAAATGAAAAATGATTACAAAATAACTTCCAAGTTTTCTATAATCAATGGCTTTAAAAAGTAGACAGTCTTAATTAATTTTAAATTAGCTTGCTCAGAAAGATCATGCCATACAGTCCTATCATAAAAGGAACACTATAAGAATTAAACAATGAACAGCATGATTTCTGATCACCCAGTGAGGATCGACAGTGTATAAAAGACACAGATATGCTACTGGATGTACCCGATAATTGTTTGAGGGTTTTCTACTGAAAAACTCAAATATGCTAGCTTAACAACAGTAGTAGGGGGAAACCTTATTATATGGGAAAGCTTCAAAATATACTGCAATTTTGTAGAAGGAGCCCAGGTAAGGATGCCTAATCCTGTCCAGTTTGGCTAGAATTCTATAGCCAAAAATGCAGATTTGAACATTTTTTGATGGGCCTTCTATCAATGCTTAACTAGTAAAAACACATCTTTTCTATAAGACTTTAGAATACTGTGGTTTCTAATGGGTTCTTGAATAATTATTTTGCGTTGTGTTTTTCTAGTTAATGGTTTTTGGTAGTATTTAATGATAGCACAGTTTGGGGTTTTATTGTTCTGGAAGGGGGAGGATATTGAATTTGTTTTTCTTAGAGAAAACATCAGGTTTGCTCAAATAGACTAACAACCTGTTGTCCTTAAGCACATACTACCAGGAATAAACTCAGGAAACAATTTTCAAGAAAATTAGAATGCAGTGCTGGTGATGGGGATTTTTGTGGGGGGAAAAAAAATGGTTTCAAGTCCTTTCACAAAGATCAAACTTCAGCCTATTTTGTTAGACTCAGCAATGTCTAAACATTGTTTTTTGTAATTGTCATTGGTAATTCAACACAATAAAGCAGTTTTGATAGCACCTGTGTTTGGCTCAAAGGGATTCCATATGTTTAGGCAACCCACAACCTTAAGAACAGATGCTTGGTATTTATAATGTCTGCCCATTGGAACAACATGTTAAAATAGTAGTGCCCAGAGAAACTTGCATACAGATTGACTAGTATTTTCTAGATAGAAGTCTTTCATATATGAAGAAGGAAAACAACCGTTTATATTGACCCGAAGGCCACGAGAAAACTTAGGCTTTAAAGTAGGCAAAGCGTATTTGTGGTATTCTGTACATTCTCTTTTCTGCTGGCTTTCCAGCCCCTTCATGCTATCTATCCTCCCTGAGCACCTCACGGCAATACTCCATCAACGAAGTTTACCCTATCCCCAGAAAGATTCTGTGTGGTTGTGGTCATTACTCCTTGTTCCTTCCTCTTCCTCTTCCCCAAATCAGGATATCCATTCTCTCAGAACAGATATTTCCAGCTAAAAAGTTGAAAGGAAAACTATCCTATTAAATTAATTTACATTTTTCTGTCAGTGGCTAATAGTTAATTGGCATTTTTAAGGAAGTTGTGCATTAATCAAGTTTCTAGTTGCTGGATCTTCAGGCAATCTAACAAGGTGAGAATAATTTTAAATTCAGTTCTTATCAGGGAAGATATTTTTGGGGAAAGGAACAGTGTGTCCCAGGGTCAGAGTATCTAATAAACTGTTTCTTTTTTTTTTTTTTTTGCACAATTTCCTTCCTACTTCCTTTCTACTTCTCAATCTACCTTTTCTCTTAAAATCTTTTAAGCTTTTTAATCACAATTAATGAACTTCTATGATAAAGTGATGTGGAGGTAGACAGATTGGTGGTTATTTCTGCATATGTTGTTTTTAAATCCATAGTTTTGTGTTATTTCTCACAGTACATGACCTATATAGCATAAGAAGTTTTATTCCCCCCAACTGCCATCCCATTCCTGTTATAAAGAAAAAAAAAAAGCGCAGAAAGATTGAATCCAAATTAATCATGGAGTCCAAATTTTTCTAGATCCCTTTTCCAGATTTTAGGACCTAGAAATCCTTTAAGTCACAATACTATTTCAAAATAAAAATGCAAACCATATTAAATATATATTGGCCAACTGCAATTAAACTTCTTCAAAACATTTTTGTTTTACATTTCAAAGGTTATTCAGGCATTTTTGGCATGTACCTCAAGATCAATGATTGTTGAAATTAGCAGAATAAATCAATAGTGGGCTATTTGCCTTTTTATGTGGGAATATAGTGGCATTGATAGTGATTATTCACAACATATACTAATGGATGCACTGTTCCTGGTTTTAGTCTTACAGTATAGTGAATTCCATCATATACTTTGAATAAAATGTTATGCTTGATCACCTAAAATTCAGTTTGGTTGCTAATACATAAGAGAGAAAGGAACTATACTTGAAGATATTAAATTATAGACATAAGTTTCTTTGAAATATTTAGAAAAACATAAAAGTACTTTTAGAATATGGAAATCCAAGCTTACATTATATTGGCAAATTATGTATGTTTCAATTATTCACTAAATAAATTTTAGCTAAATGCTTATAAATATATATATATATATATGTAATTGCCAAGTTAGGGTTTGCTTTGTATTCACATTTCTAAACGCTGAGCAATAGAGCTTCTGTGGATGACTGTTTTGCTGTAATTCCAACTGTCTAGTTATGGGAACTAACTTATTCTTCAAAAGATATTAAGCATCTAATTTTAGGTGGACAATTATAGAGAATGTACTAACTGCATTCGTTTCTTAAAAATTGTCAAAATGTTACCAATTAGGTTATTTACTTTTATGTTTCCTATGAACTAATATTGCTCAGGTCACATTTTCTTTCTCTTTCCAAATTCATTCTCTGTGAAGTTGCTACCATTTATAACAAATATGTAGGTTTGCTTTTTAGTATGATAAAATTATTTTTAGCAGCAGGAAAGCAGTCTATCAAGAAACAGCCGGCCGGGCACAGTGGCTCATGCCTGTAATCCCAGCACTTTGGGAGGCTGAGGCGGTGGATCACCTGAGGTCAGGAATTTGAGACTAGCCTGACCAACATGTAGAAACCCCGTCTCTACTAAAAATACAAAATTAGCTGGGGGTAGTGGTGCATGCCTGTAATCCCAGCTACTCGGGAGGCTGAGACAGGAGAATCATTTGAACCCAGGAGGCAGAGGTTGCGGTGAGCCAAGATTGCGCCAGTTTCACTCCAGCCTGGGCAACAAGAGTGAAACTCCGTCTCAAAAAAAAAAGAAAAGAAACAGCGATTTAAAAAGTTACACATGAAACCTTAAATATCCAAATGCCAGCATGGTTTGTAAGTTAGAATTTATCTTGCATTAAATTCCGTAGTACAAAAAAGGGAGAAGGTGATTTTTCTGTTTGATTAAAAAAAAAAAAAAAAAAAAAAAAAAAAAACAGGAAGTACTGTTGGTAGTGGAGAGTTACATAGGCTTTATGAAGCGACCACAGTTTGCTGTAGCCACATTTTTAAAAAATTAGTTTGCCAACACGTCCCAAGCACTTTTGAATTCCTAAACTTATTTCTGATATTAAATATAGTATATATATATACACACTATATATAGTGTATATATACACTATATATAGTGTATATATACTATATATAGTGTATATATACACTATATATATATATACACACACTGACATTTCATTGCATTTCTGAAGACTGAAATGGCATTAAATAAAAGTGTGTAAATTTGATTTACATGTACTTAAAAGCTGCAGTTAAACAATCCCCAATGTTCAAAAACTATTTTATTTTTCTGACTATATTATGAATTTTATGTTACTATTTATTTTATTAATGTTTTCTTTAAACCATTGAGTTTTTTGACATTAAAGTTTTCATTTATTATACTACATTTTTTATCATGTAAGACCAAATCCAGTAGTGCATTTTACAATGTTTTTTTTCTCACAATGCTGCTAAAGAAATGGCTATCATTCTGAATTTACAACATGCCAAAGAAGGCATAGAAGTTATATTTATTTTTGTTCTTGTCAAAACTCTTTGAGCAACAATTATCAAGATGTATTAAATTACTGGCATTCTCTGGGTACTAAATAAAAAGGCTGCAACTTTCTAACATTTTTACCATTGACCTTGCTTGATCATTTTTGGATATAAAATTTTGTGTCTGCTTTTATTAAACACATACATCTAATTGCAGAATTCATTGGAAATGATATACCTTGTTCAGGGGCCAGATGTAACAGGTGTTTCAGGATATTGGTTTTTTATGCCTATACGCTGATATGTCCTAAACTCTAGTATTTTTCCCACTTACTCTTCTAATATTCTCATAAGGCAAGGAAATTCAATAAAATGAACATTAAAGCTTACAGTATTTTTAGGACTTATCAGGAAAATGCATTTGTTTGCAAGTTAAATAAGGTGACAACCTTTTCTACAGCAAAAAAAAAAAAAAAAAAAAAAAAAATAGCCTAAAGATTGGCAAAAATTTTTAAAGCTCAGAATCAAGTAGAGTAACAGAAATTTATGAAAAAAGTCACATGTGTATGCCATGTTAATTTATAACAGCTGTACATATACACAGAAATTTTATTTCATATGCGGGTCAAAAATGCGTTTGGAGCCTGGTGATTGAGAGTGCCATGTACTACTTCTGCTTCTCTCAATCAACTTCTTAAGGTAAACAGGACTGACACTAGGCCAACTTTGGTAAGTGCAAAAATTGCTTTCCTACTGGCCACCTCTTTTTAATCTCTTTTCTGCTTTTGCTATGTCTTCCATCTCACAACCCCTTAATAAAATATCTGATCACCATTTATACCTAATAGTTCAAGAAACTTATTCTTACAAAAGTATGACTACATTCTGCAGTTTTATTTTAAGCATTAGCTACCAAAATAGGTAATGCAATTTTTTGGTCAATGAGACCCTTAAATAATTTAGGTTTACCAAACTAAGCATGATACAGGGGGTTTTTTTTTGTTTTTTGTTTTGTTTTGTTTTTTTTGTTTTTTCTTTTCTTTTTTTTT